AGGAGTTGATGTCACTGTATTAAATCGTACCAGTTCATGATAAATTAGTTTGGAATTCCAATGCACTTTGGACCACTGTTTTTTTGTTTGTTTGTTTTTCATTGTGGTGAAATATACATTTAAAAAAAAGCCTCACCACTTTAGCCATTGTAAAGTATATAATTGTTAGGCAAAATGATAACTGGCACTTAACATGACCCATGCAGTCAAAGGAAGCAAGCTGACCACCAATTCATCCCAGAAGGGGTGGGCCTGTATCACCTGACAGGACTGTTCTTGCATAGATAAAACGGCCCATTAAGGTGTTTCCTGCTTTGGATTGTACAGCTCTTAACAAGCATGTATCACTGACTTCAAGCCACCTGTGTTCTTGGAAGCGGTGTGTGTCAGACTCCATCCCCTTTCAGTGCCAAGACCTGTCCTCCTGCTGCCACCCACAGATGCTGCTTTAGTCAATAAGTTCCCTTAAGAAACTCTTGATGTCATTCTGGAGTTGTCAGCTTTTTTCAGTCCTTCGGCCCCAGGACATTTTTACAATTGGTGAGCTAGCCTGGAAACCTGGGAAATGGGAAAGGAGTGAGAAGCTGCCTGGGGCATCCTAGATTGGTCATCAACCTCTGTGGGGAGGCATAGCCCCTATGTTGGATGCTTGTGGCCCATCACATGTGTATGGGAACCCCCAGAAACACAGGCTAGACTGGAGTATTAGCTCACTGAGTATCCCCTGGCCTCTTGTGGTAAGGAAGGGTCCTGTACAAGAAACTTCAACAATCAGAATTACCCCCTGCTGAATTGCTAGACATGGCATCTAAATTTTAACAAAAGTCTTTCAACCTGGATGGTGAGGCTTTGGGCCACAGGGGCTGACGGGATCTCTCTCCTGGCCTGAAGGAGAAAAAAGGAGTAATACCACCATTCACCTGGCCCTAAGCCAATGTCTACTTGGCCAGATTCTGGGAGATCATTTTTTAATGGAGTGGATAATAATGGGGATGCTGGGGCCCTGGCCAAATGAAGGAGACCTCTGGAGACAAGCCATTCCCCAGAAGTCCATAGAGGAATTTCAAGCTTTGTTTCTGGAAGTAGACAAGCTATCTAAGCCCAGGGTGTTTGAGAGATTCACAAAGCTGTGTTTACTGCTGTTAAGAACAATCACAGGAGTCAGTCCATGGCAGATTTAGGTGAAACTGAGCAGGGCCGAATTTGGGTCTGCCTTGTTACTAAAAAGGAGACTCCAGGGTACCCGTACCCCACCGAGTAAATCTAAACATAAGGGGCCCATCTGTGTCACCTGTAAATGGAGGTGGCATGATTTGGTAATTAAGTGGGATCCCGTAGGAAGGACAGACAGCGTGATTCAGTTCTAGTGGGACTATAGAAAAAGTTACACTGGAACCAGTAATTCTGGACTCTCCCTTTGGCCCCTCTGGTCACTGCCAAGGATGAGATGGAGCTCTGGTCCCAGTCCACCACTGAATTTACCCGCTGGGTTCCTCCAGTTCCCCAAGACTAGGGTGGGGCCAAGGTCACCCACAAATAAGGATGATGGGAGCGACTAGAGGCCTCACATAGAAATCACAATATATTGGTCCCCCTGAAACAAAGAGAAGACCATTACTCCTGTGAATACAAATGCAGAGTACACCCTCGTACATGGCAACCCTAAAAAATTTCGGGGACCCTGGGCTGCCATGGATGTGTATGGGGGAAAGCAGTACGAGTAAAAGTTTTATTATCCATCCAAATAGGATGCCTTCCCATCACCCCTATTTACTGTTCATTTCTCCAACTCAGGAAAATATTTTGGGAATGGCTATTCTCCTGGGAAAGACATTACAGACATCAGTGGAGGAATTTTGTCTCCAAGTACAGGAGGTTAAGGCCACCCTGAGAGGCCAGGCCCATTGGGGACCCATCAACCTCCTTCTTTGGTCTCTGGGCTTTGGGAAATTTTCACAACAATTCAGGGGCATTTAGTACACTCACAATGGTGTGTGACCATCACCTCTATCTCCAAAGCATTCTCATTGTCCCCAAGAGAAACCTTGTACCTATTAAGTTACTGTCCATTCCTTCCCCCAGCCCCCGGTAAACACTAATCTACTTTTTATCTCCATAAATTTGCCTGTTGTGGACATTTCACATCAATGGAATCACACACTGTGTGGCCTTGTGTGTCTGGCATCTCTCACTGAGCACCGTGTGTTCAAGGTCCATCCACGTTGTGGCGAGTGTCAGTGCTTCCTCCTTTTTGTGGCCAAATAATGTTCCATTTAGACACTGATTTTTTTTCACACATTTCCCCATCTTTTCACCCCACTAAATAGTTTTGATTCTGTTTATGTTTGACTTTTATTCATGGAACAGAAAGTTGCTGTGTTTTCAATTCTGATCAAATGGTTAGTTTTTATTTCCCTGAGAATTCTAGAGTTTCCTGAGACCTCAGGCACTCAAGGTCACCCCATTTGGTGGGCTTCATGGCCCAGTTTGTACATTGCATACTTGCTAGAGAAATAGACCGATGCTCATTAATGCTCTTACCTCTGGGCACAGGTTCCATTTTGCACACTGATCAATACCACCTTCAGCATTCTGGACGAGGCCTGTGCAAACAAAACCGCCACCATTTCCCTGGAGGTAACGATGATGTCTTCGTCATTGTTTTACTTTTCGAATATCTTGGGGGAAACTTTGGGTGCAGAAAGTCCTCTTTGTAATTAATGAGTTGTGAATTAGCATTTAATTTATGACAGTTGTAAGGTTTTCAAAATTAACATATGGTAAAATTGCCCTTTTCTGTACAATTTTAGGAGTTTTATCAGTACCTGATTAGGTTGGTGTAACTACCACCCAATCAGAATACAGAACAGTTCCATTCCCCCACCTCAAACTCCCTGGAACTTTCCCCTTATAGTCACATACTCCCTCTACCACTTGCCCCTGTAAATCCCTGACCTGCTCTGTCATTTAGTTTTCTTTTTTAGAATGTTACATAAATGGAATCACACAGTATGTGATCTTTTGAGTCTGGCTTTGGTCACTCATCATAATGCTGTTGAGCTGTCAATGTGTTTATCAATAATCCCATGCCTTTTTTTTTGTAACTATTACTGACATTTAGTACATTCACAATGTTGAGCAGCTATCACCCTTATAGTTCCAGAACCTTCTCACCACCCCAAAAGGAAACTACATAAGCAGCTCTCCTTTCCCTCCCTCTCCAAACCCCTGAAAACCACTAATCTACTTTCTGTCTCTATAGACTTGCCTGTTCTGGACATTTCACATAAATGGAATCACACACTGTGTGTCCTTGTGTGTCTGGCTTCTCTCACTGAACACCGTGTGTTCAAGGTCCATCCACGTTGCAGTCAGTGTCAGTGCCTCCCTCCTTTTCATGACTGAGTAATACTCCAGTGTCTGGATGGACCATAGATTGTCCATCATCTTTGAAGGATATTTAAATTGTTTCCACTTTAACAGCATTTCTTCATTGGCCTACCCCCACCCCAGTTTTGGTGATTATCAGTAAAGTTACTATTAACATTGATGTGCAGTTTTTGTGTGGTTGCACCCCTGAATTTTTATTTCTCTAGGGTATGTACCTAAGAGTGGGATTACTAGGTCATTATCACTGTAGATTTAAAACCTAGTTTTCCTTAAGTCTTTAAGTTGGATTAATGGATGTTGTCATTTTATTTATAAATTCTGGTTTTGGGTACGGATATAAGAATAATACTTTCATTTGTAATTTGATTAATTTAAAATTAATTTATTAGTATACCATATTTATTTGAAATGTACATGCATTCATAGGATTTTTAGATTAAACTTCCACAAATGATGAACCCTTTTTACAAATTTTAATTCCCTGAAATATTTTATACTATGTTTACAAATATTCTTATTTCCCTCTGAACTTCAAGTACCTAATGAGGAAATTTATAAACATATAAGGTAAGATCACTGGACCCTTAAGGGGTTCATAAATCCAGTCAATCAAATGTACAAATGTAATAATCCAGATTTTTAAATGTTCCATACAGTTTATAAACAGTCATGCTCTCTTAAATCATTCATATTAAAATCACAAGTCTAATTGCTTTTTGCAATGAAGTCCTGTGTCTAATTGGATAGCTTCTCTAATGTGTCAAATTGTCCCAAGCCCTTCAAACCACAGATTTCCAGATTATGCCAAAGATTATAAAACCTTCTAAATTTAAGATAAAAGTGTTACCATGATCGAGTTTGTTTGTCTAAATGAAAATTTAAAACTAAGCTAAATTTGTTTTATTATTATTATTTTTTATGTTCCTGAGGATACAAAATAACCTTCCCAGCTAAGGAGAATAGATTTAACATTTCCCAAGGAGCTTTAATGCGATTTCACCAGCCATGGAATTGAGGGCTACTTTTTTCTAGAATGACTCTAGTTGAGATTTTTCTGCTATGTCAGTGTAGTGGGATGGGACCCTAAACTCCTGCCTTTTAGTTGGGAAACAGAGACTTCAGTGCACCCTGTTTCTCTTGGGCAAAAAATATCTTGAGTTTCACCTTTACCCCCAGATTGTATTGAAAATTTTTCACCTTCTTTTTTTTTTAGCTGAGCCATCCTGCCACCTGTTGGCAGCTCAGCGGCTGCTCAACTTGGGCCGGGACTCAAACCACTGTTGCTCAGAGCTTGCACTCTTGTGCGACCTCTTAACCAACTGAGCCACTCGGCTGGCCCGAAAATTTTTTCACCTTTTTATCACCTAATTTGGATAAATAGAAATTAGTATCCTTGCTAAGGTTTCAGTTAAAGTCCTTCACCATCTGACTGGATTCAGTCAATTTCGTTCTTACATTTATTAGGTTGTGAATTCTTCTCATTTTTTAATGGGTTCAGAGTCACATTTTATAGTCAATTTATTAACAATAATCAATAATAGGAATAGCATCAACATTAATATTACTATTATTACTAGTGCTATTCTTTTCTTAATGCTATTCCTCAGACATAACCAATGTTAGCATTTAGATGTGTACCTGTCTATACCTTTTTACTTTGTGAATGCATGTATCACAGACACACAAAGACATTGAAGCCATTTATTGAGCACCTACTATGAGAAGTTTAGAGCAGTGACTAAGGGTTCAGACTCTGATTCTAGACTGCCAAGGGTCAAAGCTTGATTCTGCTAAATATGTGTTCTTGTTTCCCCATCCAAAAATGGAAATAATAAAGCCTGTCATAGATCTCTTCCTAAAATTAGATAAGTTAATATATAACACTTAAAACTATACCTGGCTCATAGGGTTAGTTATTTTATGTGCCAGAAACATAAATACCATAAATATAAAAATTTAAAGTAGTTGTTTTTTCAATTAAATGAGATAATATATACATGTCATTTTGTAATGTGCTTTACTTAACAATAGCTCATGGGCCTTTTTGCTCATTAAATCATATAGATATACTATGTCATTCTTGTATTAACACCTGCATACTATCCCATGACCTGCTTCCATCATTTACTTAACCAACCTGATGGACATTTAGGCTCTCTGACTTCTTGTCATCACAAATCATACTGAAATGAGCATCACTGAACAAGATCCTTGCACAATTTTTAAGTATTTCTGGAAGGATTAATTCCTGGAAGGGAAATTTCTATGTCAAAGGGTATGTGCAATTTATTCTGTTACAGGTGTTGACATTGCAGCCATAAAGGCTTCACCAATTTACATTCCCAATGAGGCCTCTTGAATCAGGAAAAAGAGGCTGAGTGGATGCCCTTTTTTTTTCCCGGTCTTTTTTTTTTTTAATTAAAGTTTATTGGGGTGACAATGGTTAGTAAAGCTACATAGGTTTCAAGTATATAATTCTGTAATACATCATCTATATATCACATTGTGTGTTCACCACCCAGAGTCAGTTCTCCTTCCATCACGATATATGTGATCCCTTTTACCCTCATCCCCCTCCCCACTTCCCCTCTGGTAACCACTAAACTATTGTCAGTGTCTATGAGTTTTTGTTTCTTTGTTTTGTTCCTTTGTTGCTTTCAGTTTTATAGCCCACATGTCAGTGAAATCATATGGTTCTCAACATTTTCTGTCTGATTTACTTCACTTAGCATAATAATCTCAAATGTTGTCGCAAATGGCACTATTTCATCTTTTCTTATGGCAGAATGGTATTTCGTTGTGTATATGTACCACATCTTCTTTATCCAATCATCTATTGAAGGACACTTTGGTTGTTTCCATGTCTTGGCTACCATGAATAATGCTGCAATGAACATCGGAGCACATATATCTTAACGGATAAATGTTTTCAGATTTTTGGGGTAAATACCAAGGAGAGGGATGCTGGGTCATATGGTAATTCTATTCTTAACTTTTTGAGGAACTTCCACACTGCCTTCCATAGTGGCTGCTCCAATCTGCATTCAGGATGCCCTTTTAATTCTTCATTTGTCTAGACCAGGGGTCGGCAAACTTTTGAGATGGAAGAGCCAATCCTGTCCCTTGAAGTTTTGCAAGACCTATAAAACAAATAAAATCACCATTATGTGAATAATAGCCTTTAAAATATTTATAAATGAAACAATGATAGTTTTATTTTCATTTTCATTTTACTTCAGAGCCACATGTACGTATCCAAAGAGCCACATATGGCTCGCGAGCTGCAGTTTGCCGATCCCTGGTCTAGACTGTCAACCCACTCTCTTGATGAAAGAGAGAGGACAGCTACTATTTCATTGATGAGAGACAGAGAGAGGAAGAAAGGGGGGGTGGAGAAGAAGAGAGACAGCAAGTAACAGAAAAAGAGAGACAGAGAGAGCGCACATGCAAACACCCCTTTTCTTGCAGAATACGGCTGAGAGCTTTGCCTCTGTGCTTGAACAAACATCCATGTGGGCCAACCTCACCAAAGATGAGACATCCACCTTGGCCACAGTCTTACTGGAGAGTGTGGAAAGCACCACGCTGGCAGCTCTTCTGAAACCCTCAGCAAATGGCAGTCAGATTATTCAGACGGAACGCTTGGGTAGGCTATATCCTTCATGGCAAGGTCACACCTGGGTGCTGATTCTGAGGGGTGACTTCAGCAATGTGATTCTCCATGGCTTTTCCATCTACCATTTCCCCAACTGTTTCAAACCTCTGAACTCACAGCAAAGCAAATCTAATCATATTAACAACATCTCCCATGTACTGGGTGCCTGGCACTGTGTTAAGACTGTGGTGCCAGGCACTGTGTTTGGAGTGTGCCATTAATTCACTCAACAAATATTTGTTGACTGCCTACTGTATGCCAGGTGTTAAGAGATGAGAGTCATTTGCTGTGTTCAAATATTTCCAGCTCTCTCTTCTGGGCCCATTGTGGAATGGTACTTCATGGCTTGGAGTTAGGTGGGATTTTGTGACTAGTTCTAGTCAATGGGACAGTTGCCAGTGTGAGACTTTCCAGGGCTTTCTTTCCCTTTGCTCTGGTGGCAGGTCACAATGTCTCCTCCTGTGTGGGTCCCAGGGTACAGATAACACAGAGCACAGTCCCAGGTCAGTGTGTTAATGGGAAATACTTGTTATTTTTAATTCACTAAGATTTAGAGTTGTTTATTACTGCTGCATAACCGATCCTTTCCTGACTGATACAGCTCGGCTTTACCACCCCGAACATGTGTGATCTGTGACCACTTGGGAATCCTGGGTGCTAGAGACCTTTTATAGCAGCACCCTACTCCTGGTACTAGTTCCAGTATCAGTCATATGATGGGTGCCCAGGAGGCCAAGAGGTGGAAATAGAGTATATGGTCGACTGCCTCCAGCAGTGAACAAGGCTGGCCTCGTGAATCTTATATTTTAGTGAGTTGAGTCAGACAATAAACAGACATCTGGTATACCAGATAGAGCTAGTACTATTGAGAAAAATAAAGAGGCTAAGGGGACTACACAATGTCAGGATTAGGGGAAGCATTGCTATCTTACACAGTGTGGTTAGGGGAAGCCTTATTGGGGCAGGGACCTGAGGGAAGGGAGCCCTGTAGATAATTTGAAGAAAAAACAAGTTCAGGAATACTTGGTGAGTTTGGGGAACACAGCGAAGGCCAGTGTGGCTGAAGTGGAGTAGAGGACTATAAAAGCTGTAGGAGAAGGAGTCAGAAAAGAAAGGGGGAGGAGATTTTGTAGACAAATGTAGGGACACAGGATTTTATTTGAAATAAGATTGGGGGGGGGGAAGAATTGGAGAGTCAGAATAAGGATAGCATTATCTGGCTTACATTTTAAGAGTACCCTTGGTTCCATTTTCTAGTATGTTTTCGCAAGTGTCCTGTAATTAAGGCCATGTTATAGGCGAGAAGTCTGAGGCTCAGAGAGGTTAAGACATTGCTCAAGTTTACACAGCTGGTGAGAAACAGAACATGTGGGCCTTCTAGTTAGTGTCACCTGACTACAGAACCTGAGCCCTTGTCCACTATTCTGGGTTTCTCACAGTCCCTTTCTATTTCCTTTGGCCTTGGAAAGCTTATCTAAATTTGGAGTTGCCATGACCCTGTCGCCTTCCTTCACCGTTCACTTCAATCCCGTCTTTCCCTGGTGTATCTCCAAGCTGTGAGAGTTCACTCGTTAAGTTCCAACTGGGTTTCTCATTTGTTAGGTGCTACCATTCACCTATCATTCATGAAGGAGCTCAAGGTCATTCTGAGGACAAACTGGCCTTTCCATTCTTTCTTTAGCTTGCAACCAGGGATGTGAACCTGTGTTGGACAGAAACCAAATTCAGGACCCACTTTTTAGGTGACATCATGCAAAGTCCCCCTTTCTCCTTTTAGATATCGAGAGCAAAGTTATCAAGGAAGGATGCACTGAAGAGAACGTGACCTTTAACTTGAAAGCCAAAGGGGATAAGATGAAGATTGACTGTTCTGTAATTGAAGAATCTGAATCCACAGGTACAGACCAGCTCATGAGACTCAAGAGGGTAGTTTGGGTGCATTCAACCAGCAAATATTAACTAATCACCTCCTATGTGCCAAGACCTGTGCCAGGCAGTGTGGGAATCAGTGATGGTGGAGGCAGAAATAGCCCATGCCCTCAGAGAGCTTTCTATCTGCTAGGGAAGTCAGACATTGAATAAATAATCTCATAATACTAGAGTATCAAGCCCTTCACTGTCCAGTACAGCAGCCACCAATCGTATTTGGTCATTGAGCTCTTGAAATGTGACTAGGCAGTGAGTGTAAAATACATACCAGATTCCAAAGGCTTGGTACAAAACATAAAGGATGTAAGTTATCTCATTAACAATTTTTTTATATTGATTACATGTTGAAATGATAATATTTTGCATGTGAGTTAAAAATTATTAAAATTAATTTTACCTGTTTTTTACTTTTCTAAAATGTGGCTATTAGAAAATTTAAAATTACATATGTGGCTCATACTATGCTTCTATCAGATAGTGCTATTCTGTATTGGGGTTGGCAAGCTTTTCCTGTAGAGGGCTGGTTAATAAATATTTTAGGTATTGAGGGCAGTACAATCTCTGTCACAACTATTCAATTCTGCCATTATAGTGCAAAAGTGTTCATAGATAATCGGTAAATAAATACATGTGGCTGTGTTATAATGCAACTTTTATTTACAAAACAAACAAACAAACAAACAAACAAAAAACCCAGGCCATTCATTGCTTGCCACCCTCTGATCTATGTCTCTCTGGAGGACACTGGGAGAAGGCCTAGGACACATCCCTGGCAACCGCCAACATTGAAAAGGGGAACCCACCCAAGAGACTGAATGAGAATAACCAAAAATGTGGGAGGGGAACTTATTATAGTTCCCACCACTGAGTCAAACTGTCCTTTAGAAATACACATTCATTTTTATTTTTAAATGTAGCCCAGATTTCTCCAGGTGACAGCACCTCAGGCTCTTTTTTTTAAAATGATTCTGCTGAGGGTGACTGACCTGAAGTCCACTGGTGTTTCAATCCTCAGTGCAAAGATGCATGAGATATTAAAGTATGTATGTGTGTATATATGTTGGGTCATCTGTAGTACCTACTGAGCAAATATGAGCAAATCATTCATTTTTTTTTCTTTTTTTGCACTTGGGGAATCTACAGGGACTACTGGAGTGGCTTTTGTCTCCTTTGCGGGTATGGAGTCTATTCTAGATAAGAGCTTTTTCCAAGACCCCTTGGCCAACTCCAACACGGAGTTCAAGATGAATTCTCACGTTGTTGGGGGCATGATGACAGGGAAGAAGAAAGATGGGTTCTCTGACCAAGTCATCTACACTCTGGAGAACATTGAGGTTTGTGAAGATGTCTCCACTGGGCCCCCATCTACCTATTGACGATCCCCATCCCCACTGGGCTTAATTCTCATCTCTGATGGGAGCCCATTAAGGCAGCAAGCATTCAAAATTTCTAGCAACTCAAGCCAATCCTAGAAGAATGAGCTCTTGTATTTGTATGTGATGTTCTTCCACTCCTCAACGGGCAAGCTTTTGGTTAGATTAAGTAACATTGATGCAGGGCATATGCATGTATTTTATTTACACTAGCTATGACTAACTTAGTGGTAGAGACAGGTCTGGCATCCAAGACATCTCTTCATCGCTGCATGTTGAAATATCAGCACTTTTGTCCATTCCTACAGAACATACCTGTATTTTCTTGCCCCAATGACTGTTGAGTGGTCACATTGAATCCATTCAATAGGGACTCTCAGGTGACCAGGGCCTTTGAATTTTCAGCCAAAGCAGAAGTTTGAGAGGCCCATCTGTGTTTCCTGGAGCACAGACATGGGGGTCGGTAGGTGGACGTCGTCTGGCTGTGTGGTCCTGGAAGCCTCCGAGATGCATACTGTCTGCAGCTGTAATCGAATGGCAAACCTGGCCGTTATCATGGCTTCTAGGGAACTCACGGTCAGTACGGATGCTCTGTGCTCTGGTTCCCCAAATTCAATGGAAAAATAATGACTAAACATCCATGTGTGCCTTTCATGATGTTGTGTGCTATGGGGACAGAAGGGGTATGTGCCATGCCTCTTCCCTTGGGGAATTCATGATCTAGTTGGAGAGCCATAACACTCATACATCAAATGAGAAATGACTCTAAATAGGTGCAGGCACAATACCAATCACAAATTCTATTTAATGAGCACCTACTATATTCTGGACTCTTTATTTTAAATGTGTGTTTTTAGACCCATTTTAGTATGGGAGGCTCAGTAGTAGTCTGCCTAACCATAAAGCTAGCAATTGGTGGAGGAGAGATTTGAACCCAGGACAGTCTGGCTCCAGAGGTCACTTTCCACTAAACCAGAGGCTGTGCTGTAGGAATTCAGAGGTGTTTCTGTGAGAGCTGGTGCTAGATCAGGAAGGAAATAGAGTATGAAATGATCCTTGGTGAGTGGGTAGATTTGGTAGAGAGGAAATACATCCTCATTCGTGCTGTGGTGAGTATCCTTGCCTATCACATCAGATTTGAGGTTCAGTTTTGTGCCAGGAGGGTCTAAGTGTTATTTAGAGAAATATAAGGCTTAGGACTTAGAATTGGATCCGGAGCAAGACTGACCTAGTTTCAAGTCCCATCTCTATCACTCCTTAGCTGTGTTTCGTTGGGCAAGTCACTCAGCCTCTCTGAGCCTGAGCCCAGTGCTTTCATCTCAAAAATGAGAACAAGAAAAAATAGTAATGACAGCTAACCTTTCTATAGTATGTAATATGTTTTTGACACAGCTGTGAGTACTTTAAGTATTTTCATAGAATCCTCCTGAAATCCTAAAACAATCCTATAAGGTAGTTACTATTAGTATCCTCTTTTGAACAGATGAGGAAACTGAGGTACAGAGCAGTTCATGTCTTATCCAAGCTCATATAACCAGAAACCTGCAGAACTGTAGTCAGTGTTCTTTTTTTTTACTATTAGTTTCAGGTCTACAAAACAATGTGCTAGTTAGACATTTATACCCCTCACAAAGTGGTAGCCCTCCTCCCCCAATCTACTACCCTCTGACATTGTATATAGCTGTTACAGTTTCACTGTGGAGTCAGTTTGCCACTGTGTCACAATATCATAGCGAGGCGCTCATGAGATGGTGCCTTGCATATCTTTAACACAGAGAAAGCACTCAAATAAGTTTAGAATTAATTGAAAATTAATTATAAATAATGGGACAGGGGAAGTGCTCAGCTTGTCATTCCACTCCCCAAAGCTGAGGCTTCTCTGAACGCCTGTGTATCAGGCCTGGTTCAGTGCAGGAAATAGGAACCACTCTAGGTATGTCAAGCAGGAAAGGATTTAACACAAGAACTGAGTGCTCTCAAAATTGCTAGAAGGGATAGAAGAGTTGAAGTCAGGGGGCTGCCACTTGGATTTTACCTTCAAGATCACCCCTCTGCAGTATAATGTAAAGGTCAGAACCCCAGCCACAGCTCACTTCTGTCTGCAGAAAGCTGGTATCCGCCTTCATTCTGCCTTCCCAAACGTTCACCTCCTTGGAGAACCTAAATGACATCCAGGAACTTAGCCTCAAGAGATTCTGGAAAATGTAGTTTGTAGACATCCTGCCCTAGGAATACATGGGGTGGGGTGTAGGACAGGGTGCTGATGGATGTCAATCGATGCCAAAGAACTATGATGAATAATATCTAGTTCACTCTGTCAGTGGGAGGAAAGGTACCCAAGTTCTTTCTGCCCAAGTCAGTAGTCTGGATAATTCTTTTTGCTGCTTGGAGGAATGTCTGTTTCTGTCTGAATAGCATATCTCTTTCCTGACAGATGGAGTTCTCCTTGTACATCATTAGCCACATAGGCATGATCATCTCCCTGGTGTGTCTCATCTTGGCCATCACCACCTTCCTGCTGTGTCGAGCCATCCGTAACCACAACACCTATCTCCACCTGCACCTCTGTGTGTGCCTCTTCTTGGCCAAGATTCTCTTCCTCACCGGTGTAGACAAGACAGACAACCAGGTCTCACATGCCTCAGACTATGCCCCATCCAGCCCCATCATCTCCACATCTGCCTCTGCTCATCCCTACCCAACACCCTCTATAGTAGTTCCCACCTCAGAACCTTTGAACGTGCTATGCCCTCTTTTCATAACACTCATCTTCCAGCACCTCACCTGGTTGAGTCCTTTTTGTGATAAGTCTCAGTTTAAAGTCATCTCCCTGATCATCTTATGTACTGTGGTGGTCCCTCCTGTTACTCTTTAAATCATTGGTTCTCACTTGGTCCCCTAGGGGACACTTGGCACTATTTGAAGATATTATTGGTTGTCACCACTAGGCGGGGGTGTGGCTAGCATCTAGTGGGTGGAGGCCCAGGATGCTGCTAAACATCCTACAACACTGGACAAACCCCACAACAGAAAATAATCTGGCAATAGTGTTACAACTGTCACTACTGCTACAGGGGAGAAACTCTACTTATCACTTCTTTCTGCTTTCTTTCCCAGCACTTACTTGAAACCATATCGATTATTTGTTGTTTCACTTGTGTATCTACTTTTGCCACTAAATTATGTGCCCTGTAAGAGCAAGAATTTTGGCCAGTTGAGCCCCAGAACTCTACCAGAAGCATAGTAGGCTCTTGGGGGATTTTCCAAAAGGAGCACTATTAACATCTTGGGTGGAACACCATTCTCTGGACAGAGCTCCCCCTCTCACTGTGGGATGTTTAGCTTCCCAGCTCTTTAAGAACTAAATGCTAACGTTATACCTCACTCCTATCGTGTGACCAGGGATAGGCAAACTTTTTCTGTGAAGACACAGATGTAAGTATTTACAGCTTTGTAGATCCTACAGTCTCTGTCGCAACTAATCGACTCCGCTGTTTCAGCGTGAAAACAGCAGTAAAGAATACATAAACGGGTGTGGCTGTGTGACCATGAAACGTTGCTTACAAAACAGGCAGCCAGCCCAATGGCTGTAGTTTGCAGGACTCTTGCCCCCATACCCACACCCATATCTTCAAACATCTCTTAAAGTAGGGTGATCATCTACCCGTTTCTCCCCCCAAACTCTCTCAGTTTTAGCATTGACAGTCATGTGTCCTGGGATAACTCAGTACCAGACAAACCAGGACCATAGGTCACCCTACCAAAGGGATGGTACCACCTGTGGTAAAGAATACCTCTATAAATATTTGTGGAATGATCGCATGGGCAGTGTTAGGGGGAATGCCAATCAAAGAAGGCCCTCCCCTGCCCTCTTCCTCTGAACCTGCTCCTTGGGGGCAGTGGCGGGAAGGATCCTGAGTGCGCATGCTTCTCCTCGCCAGACGGGCTGCGCCATCATCGCGGGTTTTCTGCACTACCTTTTCCTCGCCTGCTTCTTCTGGATGCTGATCGAAGCCGTGATGCTCTTCCTTATGGTCAGGAACCTGAAGGTGGTGAATTACTTCAACTCGCGCAACATCAAGATGCTGTACCTCTGTGCCTTTGGCTATGGGGTCCCAGGGCTGGTGGTGGTCATCTCCGCCTGCGTGCAGCCACAGGGCTATGGGATGCATAATCTGTGAGTAACACTCCTCTCTCTCCCCGAAGACCCTGCTGCCAGGGTTCATGATGATAAATACATGAATCACAAGAAGAGCAATAACAATATCAGTAGTGTGGCTACCATTTATTGAGCTCTTTATGTACTGTTGGTCTCAGGGCTGCCATGTACAGTAGCACAGGTTGTGCACTGCACAAATTCAGGAGCTACTGTTTGCACTATAGTCTAGGACCTAGACTCTAGGTGAATGGCGATGATGTAAACAGTGGACTTGATTATACAGTTTTAAAATCATGGACTTTTGAGCCAACCTGCTTGGGTTTGAGGCCTGGCTCCACTTACTTTCTAGCTGTACTACCTTGGGTAAGTTACTTAACCTCTGTATGCATCCATGTCCTCATCTATAAAATTGGGGCTAATAACAATGTTTACATCATAATGTTGTTGTGAGGGTTAAATTAGTTATTATCTGCAAAACATCTAGAACGTTGTCTGGCACAGAGTAAAGCACTATACCTGTCATTATTATCAACATTATTATTACTGTTGTCTGTTTTAAAGCAAAATATGTTTATCACATGGTTCCATGCAAGATGCTGGTAAGTACTAATTCTTTTTAAATTTGTATTTATTTTATAGGGTATTAGAAAAAAATTGCCAGCATACCAAACTCATGATTTCACAGACACAATTCCATTGTGTAAGTAAAAAAAGTGAGTCAATTTTGAGGGGGAAAAAATTAGGTAAATTACAGGACAAGCAGTATGTCGATAGGGCAGAGACTCACTGTGTTACTTCATTTAATCCTATGGCAGACCCTTGTGATAGTGTTGCTGTTCTAATTTACAGATGAGGAAACTGAGGCTCAGAGGGATGAAAGACTTTCTCACCATGACAGTAAGAAAGGCGCAGCATGAGGGCATGAATCAGGTTCTTTCCAATCCCAGGGCCTCCACTTATCACCCCGTGTTATAGGAACTTTGCTGTGCTGTGTTTGGGGATTAAACTTCCAGGTTTCCTCTCTGCCTGCTGATGGCTTATACTTCAAGTAAGGTCATGAGATAAGGGGCAAGAGAAAGGAATTCAAACTAAGTGATCACCCATCATAACAAATCTTGTAAAATTTACAACCATATTATCTCAACAAAAACCCTGTGTTAAGACTAAGGGTCTTCATTGTGTACAGTATAAATACTGTCCCTTGGATTTGTGCAGTGCACAACCTGTGCTGTTGTACATGGTGGCCTTGAGACCAACAGTACATAAAATAACAGCTTAATAAATGGGAACTACAGAGGAAATTGAGGCTCAGCCCAGTTACAGAACTTGCTGGGATCACATAGCTAGGAAGGGTTCAAGCTGAATTGAGGTCTGACTGCCTGGTCAGGAGATGGTGGTAACAATGCAAGGCTACTGTGATGAAGTGCCTGATGTTGGTGTAGGTGGTATAAGCCCTGACAGGCCAGAGGAAGAGGATGGCATATGGGAGCTGGGAAGTTCATGGAAGGCTTTCTGGAGGAGGTAGAACTTGAGTGGGCTTTGAGTTCTACTGAAATGTACACAGGCAAAGAGGAGAGGGAGTGGCAACGTAGGTGAGGACAAAAGCTTGCCCAAGAGGGAACTCAAGCTGTGTTTGGAGAGCAGATAGACTGGACTGGAAGGAAGGAAAACTAAGGGGTCATGAAATTTGAAGAATACCTTCTAGGCAGAGGGAAACAGAAAGTTTTAGAAGAGAATAGCATTGACAAGGATTTGAGATGACCTTTGGAAGCACTAAGAAGGTAGCAGGGAAGTGAGACAGGGAAGAGAAGAATCAAGTATGGGGTGCATTCATGAGCAGGTACTACTGTGAGTAATGGGGGTTTAATGCCATGGGTACCAATGAGAGACAGTGTAGAGTGTGCACTCCTGTTATCCCACCCAAGAGGTGGGGGAACTGGTGTATTTATATCCACCAACTTCCTCTCATTAACCATTGGTTGAGCGCTGTGCCCAGGAGAACAAATTTTCAAGTGCTTGTAGCCTGATGTCCCAAGCAGAGAATCAGATGCTGATAGGGAACTGGCCAGTATTTCCTGGAGTAGTCATTTCCAAAAGGGTAGGGACAGTGTCTTCTCATGTTGCAAATATTTTCTCGTCATTTATCACTCTACTACTGGAGATTTGCATGCCAGGGAGAGAGAACATGTGGTTGGCCAAACTTGATTATTTTCTGTCTTTTGTGGAGGGAAGAGTATTTTTGCTAAAGGAATATTGGGGTGCCATTACTGAATGTGGTGGAATGGTAGCTGGGTGGTAAAAACAGCAAATTCCTAGTAGAGGCATGAAGTAAAGAGGCAGTGCACGCTTCCTTTTTTCCTCCCTTCCTCCCACTCTTACTACCTTTTTTATATTTATTTTAAATTTTTTTTCTTGTGGTATAATTGACATACAACATTATATTAGTTTCAGGTACACAACATAATTTGATATTTATATGTATTACAAAATGACCACATCACCATAATAAGTCTACTTAATATCCGTCATCTCACTTGGTTAAAGAATTATTTTCCTTGTGATGAGAACTTTTTTTTTTTTTAACTGAGCCATCCTGCCACCTGTTGGCAGCTCAGCGGCAACTCAGCTTGGGCCGGGCATGAACAGCTGTTGCTCAGAGCTCAAACTTGCGCGAGCTCTTAACCAACTGAGCCACTCGGCCGGCCCTGTGATGAGAACTTTTAAGATTTACTTCTTTAGCAACTTTAAAATATGCAATATAGTATTATAATAATATATATAATTGCCATGCTGTAATTACATCCCCAGGACTTATTAATTTGATAATTGGAAGTTTGTAGCTCTTGACCGTCTTCACCCATTTTGTCCCCACCCCTACCCCTCCACACATACTTCTGGCAACCACTCATCTGTTCTCTGTATCTATGAGCTCGGTTTTTGCTTCGCTAAGATTTCACATATAAGTGAAATCATACAGTATTTGTCTTTCTCTGACTATCTCACTTAGCATAATGCCCTGAAGTTCCGTCATGTTGTCACAAGTGGCAAGATCCTTCCTTTCAAGTATGGAATGCCTCATCCACACCGGGCTTCATATTGAGTGCTGGGTATTCAGAGATAACAAAACGTTCAACGTCCAAATTCTCGTGCAGCTCATAGTCTAGTAGGGGAAGATAGACAATTGACCAGTAAACAAACAACTGAACAAGATATTTATGATAGTGATAGATGCTATAAAAAAAGGCAGCAAGCTCTGCTAGAGAAGGACCAGGAGTTAGGGACAGTATACTTAGCTAGGAATAGTCAGGAATGGCTTTTCAGAAGAGGTGACATTTGAGTTAAGAGTTGAATGATAAAATGTGCCAGTGGAAAGTTCTGGAAAGAGGGAAAAGGAATTATAAAGGTTATGAATTGAGCATGGACTCTACCTGGGGTACTAAGCGAATCTTTCAGGAACATTTATGCAGGAGGGTCAGAAAAAGGATTCGCTAGGTTCCAAAGAAAACTGAAATGTGACCTGTCTTATCGTGAGCATTTTCATCTCCATCTTATCTCCCAATATTCTCCTCCATTAGTGCCTTTTGCAGGGCATGAGTAATTAATTCTAAGGTCAAGGCTCTGAGACAAGCACAGACTTCTTTTGTTTCTCTCCACAGCTGCTGGCTGAATACGGAGACAGGGTTTATCTGGAGTTTCCTGGGGCCAGTTTGCACAATCATAATGGTAAGCAAATTGCTTAATGCCATGGGTTCTGGAGGGGGACCTGACCCAAGGGATTAGGAAGTGCCAGTGACGTTGCAGAGCTGAGATCACTTATTCCTCTTTTTTATCATTCTTGAAATTTCCAAGTTCAAGTGTAATTTCTTTGACTCATGAATTTTTTTATGCAACAGGTAAATCCCCTGGGAAGGACCACAATCTTTTTTGTCCTCTGCGTTTCAGTAAGAATGGGTCTATCAGTCTCTTCTGAGCACAGATGTTGAATGAGAGAAAAGGTAGAAAGAGATTTTCCCCCCAGCTTTACTGAGGTATAATTGGCAAATAAAAATTGTAAATGTCTAAGGTGAACAACTTGATGTTTTGATATAGGTACACATTGTGAAAAGATCACCACCATCAAGCTAATTAACATTTCAAGGAAGTACTCTTTTTTTTTTTTTTTTTTTTTTTAGCTGAGCCATCCTGCCACCTGTTGGCAGCTCAGCGGCAGCTCATCTCAGGCCGGGAATTGAACAGGCGACCCTGTTGTTCAGAGCTCGCACTCTTGAGCAAGCTCTTAACCAACTGAGCCACTCGGCCGGCCCTAAGCTAATTAACATTTCCATCGCCTCACATAGTTACCATTTTTTTTAAAGATAAATTTATCGAGGTAACATTGGTTAGTAGCATTATACACATTTCAGGTATACAACATTATACTACAACATCTGTGTCCTCTATTTGTGTGCTCACCACCAAAAGTCTAGTCTCCTTCCATTACCATATATTTGACATTTGACCCCCTTTACCTAATTCACCCTGCTCCTACCCACTTCTACTCTGGTAACCATCATTCTGTTGTCCCTGTCTATTTAGTTTGTTTTTGTTATGTTTTGTTAGTTTGTTACTTTTTGTTTCATATTCTGCCTATGAGTGAAATATGTTTTTTGTTCTTTTCAGTCTGACTTACATCATTAGCATAATACCTTCAAGATCCATCCATGTTGTGGAAAATGGCAGGTAGAACACTAAATCTACCCCTTTAGCCAATTCTAACAATACGACAAAAAGTTAACTGTAGTCACCATGCTTTACATTAGCGCTCCAGAACTTACCCATCTTGCATAACGAAAACTTTGTAACCTTAGACCAACACTTCCCTCTTTCCCCTCCCCCCAGCGCCTCACAACCACCAGTCTCTTCTCTGGGAAGCCCAAGCACTGTCTCCTTGCCTCCTTGCCTCCAGCCCTGATTCTACAACCCTATTCTACAAGATGATGTTTCTTCTGACTCTCACTGGTGCTGTCTTGTTATCTTGTGTCACTTGTAGTTGTTGATTGTGAGCTCATATTTGACCAATCTAAATCTTGGGAATTCTTGTGGTTGTATTCATTCTTTCAGAGGGTTTTGCTCTGACCTCTATCAGATTTAGGTGCACATGTATTAGTTTCCTAGGGCTGTCAGAACAAAGGATCACAAACTGGGTAGCTTAGAACAACTGAATTTTATTGTCTCAGTTCTGGAGGTTAGACATCTGCAATCAAGGAGTCAACAGGGCCAGGCTCCCTCTGAAGATCTTAGAGAAGGTTGTGTTCCAGTGTTCTTTCCAACTGCTTGGCTTGTAGAGATCTTTCTCCTCCCTACGTCTCTTTACATCATCTTCCTTTTATACATGTCTGTATCTGTGTCCAAATTTCTGTTTTATAAGGACATTATATAGATAAGTCATATGGATAAGGGCCCACCCTTATGACCTCATTTTAATTTGATAACCTCTGTAAAGACCCGATCTCCAAAGAAAGTCACATTGCGGTCCTGGGGGTTAGGGACTCAACATATCATCTGAGGGGACACAATTCAACCCATAATAGGGCACTGATCTTGATTCCAATTTCCCAGATGCATCCAGTGAAAATAAATGAAGATCACCCAAATGAGAATAAGCAAAGGCAATTTATTCAGAGATTGCTATAGTAAAGGGAGCCAAACACCATAACATGCTTTTGTTAGAGACTCAAAAGCAGGCAGAGGAGGAGAAATCTTGACAGAAGAAAAAAGAGAAGCTTCAGGTGTGCCCTGATTGGAGGCTGCAGGGACCGCTATAGGTGGGCTAACTAAAAGCAGGGCATCGTATGTAATTGGTTAGGTATATTGGTTTTCTCCTAAGTTGGAATCAGGGATAGAAATTAGGGAGGCTATCAATTATTAATCAAGTCCCAGTCATTTGGGGTCAGTTGCTACAGGGCTCCCTGGAGTGGTTACTACAGACCATGGGTCAGCGTTCTGCTTTTAAAGATGGTCTGGCCATTGTCTGTTTGCTGGCCAAAATTCTAGATTGTAATTAAAAATAAAAAGCATTTATTTGAGCAAAAGGAACTGCAGCCCAGGATACACAGATTCAGGTAGCAACCTAAATTGTGGTCCAGGGAATAACAAGGAAAGGCAGGGCTTATAAAGATAAAACCCAGAGAGTGAAATTCTTTCCTGCAAATGAAGGGGGTCGCTCGCTAGGTTAACAGGGATTAGTTGGTTCCAATACGCAAATGAGGGAGGTGAAAACTAGAAGAAGAAGGTCAAGTCCATAGGTGTCCACGGCAGCAGGTTTTCCAGGATGTTTATTGCCTCCGCCTTGAGCTGAGTTCAGCAACAGGTTAGCAATTTAGCAAAGAGCAGCTCTGAGAGCTGAGGCTTAAAATGTGCAGAGGCCCCACTTCCAGAATAGCTAGCCTCCCAAATGTATTTTAAGTGGGTCTCTTAGCAATATTTGTTCCACTTTTGTTTCTTAAGTTTGTATATCCAGTCTCTCAATCCTTTCTGTTTGACTTTGTAGATCAATTCCATCCTTCTGTCTTGGACGTTATATATACTGAAGCAGAAGCTTTCCAGTGTCAATGCTGAAGTCTCGACTCTCAAAGACACCAGGTGCACTCTCCCTTCTTTCTTTTCTTTCCTCTTCCAGTCTCCCTTCCTTCTTCCCACAAATGCTCACTGAGTACCTTTTGTATGCCTGGTCTTGCGCCTAAGATGGAACAGCACAGTGTCTACATCTGGGAGCTCAAACTCCAAGTCCACCACTTACATGCTGTGTGACCTTAGGCACGTTATATATAACCTCTCTGAAACTCAGTTTCCTCATCTGTAGAATGGGGATATTAATAGTGTGCGCTTTATGTGGCTTATGCAGCATTTAGCAGTTACTAGGAAGAGTGAGTGTTTCATATATTGAACCCATTAATACATTTTCCAGTTCTTCTGTGCATACTTACGTGTGTGTACTTACAAAAGCAGAATCATACTATTTTATTTTTATTTATTTATTTATTTTAATTATTTTTTATTATGAAAGACACATTTTTTAGAATTAGTTTCAGCTGTACTACACAGTGCAATAGTTATACATTTTACCCCTCGAAGTGACAACCCCCCTCCCCCAATCCGCCGCCCCACTTCCCCCCAATATCATACATATCTATTACAAATCCCTTGACTCCACTCCCACACTATACTCCACGTCCAATGACTATATATATATTCACTTATAGTTGACATACAATATTATACAACATCAGCTTCAGGTGTACAGTGCAGTGATCAAGCCTCTTCCCCATCCATGATGCAAGACATGTGACCACCTGACACCCTACAAAATATTTACAACATTATTAATTATATTCCTTGGACTGTCTTTCATGTCCCTGTGGCAATATTGTAGTTGCGTATTTATGCTGTCTAACCCCTTCCCCTTATCCCTCATCCCCACCCCCTCCCAACTAACAGCCATCAGTTGTTCCTCTATATCTCTGAGACCACTTCTGTCTACTTTGCTCATTCGTTCAGTTTTTTAGATTCCACATATAAGTAAAATCATATGGTATTTGTCTTTCTCCGACTGACTTATTTCACTTAACATAATAGTCTCTAAGTCCATCCATATCATCCCAAATGTTACGATTTCATTCTTCTTTATAGCAGAGTAACACTCCATTGTATAAATGTACCACAGTTTCTTAATCCAGTCGTCTACCGATAGGCGTTTCGGTTGTTTCCAAGTCTTGGCTATTGTGAATAGCGCTGCAATAAATATAGGGGTACATATATTTTTTCGAATTAGCATCTTATTTTATTTTTATTACCATTTTTTTCTCTAACATGTCATGAATATTTTTTCACTTAATTAGAAATTCATCAACAATCTTTTTCTTGCATAGCATTTCAGGATGAGAACACAGAACAACTTATTTAAATCATCCCTTATTCGTGGATATTTATGTTGTTTCTGTTTTTCTGGGGTTTTTTGTTTGTTTGTTTTTCCTATAAACAATACTGTCTTGAATATCCTTTTAGATAACTCTTTTTCCATGTCTGGGATTATTTAATAATAAGAGTAGGCATGAAATTTCCTAAGTCAAAGGGTAGATTGGATTGTAATACTTTTAGTATATTTTGCAAATGGTTTTCCAGAAAATTTGTTTCCATTTATAAGAGTGCTTGCCTGGAATTTATCATTTATGTTGTATTGTTTTTATATATTTAATAGGTGAAATATACTATCTCATTACTTTAGTTTCATATATATCTTATTTTATCTTATAGATGTGGGGCTTTTTCAAATTCTTATAGACCAGTCAACCAGTAAAGATCTGAGGCTGTAAAACAACTTAAAAGTTTATTGGGGTCTTAAAGGATTCGAATCTGGAAGACGCAGATTCACAGGAAAACCTGAAATGTGCTCCAGAGAGAACAAAGAAAGGCAGGGTTTGTAAAGGCAAAAACCAGATAGTCTAATTCTTTCCTGCAAATGAACTGTTGCTGGCTAGGTTAACAGGGCTCGGTTAGTTCCAATACACACATGAGGGAGGTGAAAACTACAAGGAGAAGGTCAAGTCCATACGTGTCCACATAGCAGTGGTTTTTCCAAGATGTTTATGCCTTGGCCTTGAGCAGAATTTAGCAACAGGTTAGCAACTTAAGAGCAGCTCTGAGAGCTGAGGCACAGGACATACAGAGGCCCCACTTCCCAAAAGTCCCCACTTTCCTGACTATATTTTAAGTGGGTCTCTTAGCAATGCTTGTTCTATTTTTAATTTTTTCCCATTATCAGACCATTTGTGTTTCTTAATTTCATTACTCAACTAATGTTCATTTTAAGAAGCTACCCAAACCAGGCATTGTGTAGGTTTTATTGTCAGTAACCTGATGATATTCTTTCTTTTTTTTTTCTCTCAGTGTCCAATCCCTCATCCATCTTAAATATATTTCTAAAAATGATTTTTAAAAAGTTTATGCAAAAAGTTCAAAGTTAATACATCCAATGGTAAGAAGAATTAAGCAGTGTAAAAAGAACACATAAAATTCATTCCCTCTTTCTTCCCTTACTTTCCAGGTCCCCAGCTCTCTCTCACCTTAAGCAACCATTATCACAGGAATTGAGCTTCCTTCCAGAATATTCTGTACTTACACATCCACTTCCTTTTACATAAATGATAGAATAGTGTGCATATCATTCTACACTGTTTTTTTCCCCACATAATATGTAGCTTATTTCATATCAATACTTAAAGTTAGAAACTATTAATAAAAATGCTTATTTTGCATCAGACACTGTTCTAAGCCCCCTTAGGATCCTGCTGTCTCATTATTTAATCTATAAAACAAGCAATACCACTGTGTAGGTATTGTATTATAATCTCTGTATCAATTTGAGGAAAATTGAGGCACAATGAGGTTAAGTAACTTACTATGGCTTGTCAACTGATGGTCATTGGTGCCAATTCAACACCAACAGAAATCTCCAATTTGGGGTGCAGTGAAGAAGGAAACTTTATTCAGCGCAAACAGCTCAATTGTGATACAGCACAGCTATGAGAACAGCATGACAGTGGGATAGCTCAATAGTGTTACAGCTCAATTATGAAGCAGCATAGCTGTGGAACAGCACAGCAGCAAGGCGGCCCTGGGGGGAGGATCCCTCCAGCTAGACTACTGTTTTATGCTCTGCTCCACTCTGCCCTCCACCACTGAGATGTTGTGGTTATTTCATCTCCAGCCAGGGAGACACAGTCTTCATTGGAAATGGAAAGTGTGCTCCCTGAGCCAGAGGGGAGCTGACTTATATAGGGAGAAGTCCCTGCCTCTGGTCCCTGATTGGTCTTTCCTCATGCAAATGAGGACTCCAAATCCTCACAGTTTGATTGGTCCAAAAGGCAGTACTGATTGGTCAGAATGGAGCCGTTCTGATCAAGATGTTGATGGGGGTATATAGCTGTGCAGCTCCGATTGGATGGGGAAAGCCTCAGTCCTATTGGTTGAAATACAATTCCAGAAATTCCTTTATAATGGCTGGCTCAGATGGCAGGAACACAGTACAGGCAGACAGTTCAATGGATCAGTCAGAATTTGTTTGCAAACAGTCTGACTCAGAGCCTGAACACTTATTCACTATAGTTTATTGTCACTGTCATCTCATTTTATTTTATTTTATTTTATTATTATTTTTTTAAAGATTCCCATTGGGGAACTGGGAAATGGGAACAGTGCTGGGGAATTGGGGGAAGGGGAACAGACAAGTCGCTGTCCTTTTGTTCTTCAGTCTAGCCGTGGAGGACGTCGCCCCACTGGCCCAAGTTGGCACCACCATTGCGCTCTTCCCAGGCGAGGCAGACCAGTCGTCAGCCCCTGGACTGCCGCTCACAGCGGCTGCTGGCCACTCACGCTGGCTGCTGGCCACACACGGTAGCCCATGGCAACCCACTGCAGCAGGGGCTGCAGCCTACGCAATCGCCGGTGACTCACGCGGCAGCCCAGCTCCAGGTTGAGCTGTTGTTCAGCATCTTAGCTGTGGAGGGCAGTGTCACTGGCCCTCATATGTGGGATCCGAACCGGGGCCCTCTGACATCCCAAACCAGCTCTTAACCAATGTACCACTCAGCTGGCCTTGTCATCTCATTTTAATAAATGGTTTTATAATTTCCTTTCTGGCTCTGTGGATTTCCCTATTCTGGATATTTCATATAAATAGAATCATATATTATGTGGCCTTTATAATTGATTTCTTTCACTGAGTGTCAAGTTTCAAGTTTCAAGTTGGAGCGAGTGTCAGTGCTTCACTCCTTTTTATGGCTGAATTGTATTCCATTGTATGGATGGGACCATATTTTATATATCTACTTATTCACCTGTTGATGGACATTGAGTTGTTTCTAGTTGGGGGGTGGGAAACTGAGAATGGCTGCTTAATAAATACAGGGTTTTCTTTTTGGAGTAATAAAAATATTTTGGAAATGGATAGTGGGGATGTTTGTACAAAATTGTGAACATGCCAACTACCACTGAATCACACATTTTAAATGGTTACAATGGTGAATTTTATGTTACGTGAGTTTTACCTCAAAAAAAAAAGGCTTTATAGTATTTGATAATATGGCTTCACTGTTTGTTTAACATGTCCCAAATTCATAGCCTTTTATTACTACAAACAATATTGCATTAAATACATGTATCCACACATCTTAGTGTCCATGTGTATTTGTAGATACGCCACCGTTTAAGTGCCTATAGGATTCAATTTCCCTACCACTAGGCTTGGAGACTCTGCTCCATTTTTATTCCCACCCAGGTTGCGGGTCACAGGCTGGCCGCCTCAGACCATTCTTGGGAGCATGGCCCATAAGGACAACAGCCACTGATTCTCTGCAAATCTTCTTCCCCAGGTTGCTGACATTCAAGGCCTTTGCCCAGCTCTTCATCTTGGGGTGCTCCTGGGTATTGGGCATTTTCCAGATCGGACCTGTGGCCACTGTCATGGCCTACATGTTCACCATCATCAACAGCCTTCAGGGGGCCTTCATCTTTCTCATTCATTGTCTGCTCAGCCGCCAGGTACAAAGCTGTTTCCCCCCCTGCCCCCCATCCCCGACTCCCCCTCCTTCCAGGGGACATGCCTGTGCCAGCACACTTCCTGCATCTGGGAGTGACTCATTTCCGTGTTCTGTCTCTACTTCCAGGTACGGGAAGAATACTGGAGATGGATTACTAGGAAGACCAAAGCCAGATCACACTCTCAGACCTCAGGGATCTTACTGTCGTCCATGCCCTCTACTTCCAAAACGGTGAGATACAGCGCTTGATGCACAGTCTGATTGAACAGAATACCTGCTTCTTGGCAGTATCAGACCCTGCTGTGTGTTGAGTGCCTGCTGTGAGCTAAGCACGTCCACGTGCATTAGCTCATTGGATGGTGTGGGGTTTGGGAGCCAGGCTGCCTGGGTTTAAATCTCAGCTCTTCCCCTTAGTAGCTATGTGATCCAAAAAACATAAACTCAAGACTCACACAGATATAAAATGAACATACATTAAGAATCTTATTCTACTCATTAATCAGTGAGGGAACCACCCCCCTCACCTGAATTCTAGACTCATATATAACCAACCACATACCAAATGCCCCACTTAAACATCTAATAGATGTCACAAATATAGCATGTTCAAAACTGAGCTTCGATCCCCTCACCTTTCATTTCCAGGGAGGGTCCTCTATCCTTCTGCTGCTCAGCATGACACCGTGAAGTTATCCTTGACTCTGCTTTGCTCACCCTCCACCTCCAACCCATCAGTAAATCTTGTTGACTCTTCTTCAAAATGTATTCAGAATCTGACTACTTCTCTTTTCCTTTACTGCTTCTATTCTGGTCCAAGTCCTATTGTCTCTAGCCAGGATTATGGAAATAGTCTCATAAAGAGTCTCCCTGCTTCCCTCTTGCCTTTGCTTTTACCCACCTTGGGTCTGTTCTTGCTGCAGCCACCAGAGGGCACATGTGGGCCCCTGAGTCAGGCCCTCGCTCATCTGCCTACAACACTCCGTGGCCCTCATTTAGAGTAACAGCCAAAGTCCTCCTGATGACCCACAGAGCCCTGCCTGATCTGACTGCCTTTCCCTCTCTGACCTCGTCTTCTGTTGATCCACCTCTCACTTCACTCTGCTCCATCCACACCAGCCTACTCAGGATCCTCCCAACACGCCAGGCTCACTTCCTCCTTAGAAACTTTGAACTGGAAGTTCATTCTGTCTCGAAGGTTCTTGTCCTGGTACTCACTTGGCCAACTCCCCCACTTCCCTCACCTCCTTCAAGTCTTTGTTCCAATCATTTCTTATCAATAGTGTTTCCTCTGACAAGTCTTATTTTGTGCTGCTCCCTCTTCTTCCATCCTGCCCTCTTGTCTTGATTGTCTTTCCATTAGCACTTTCCACTTTCTAACATACTATAACTTCCTTATTTATTTTATAATTCGTGATCTTCCATCTCTCACTAGAATGTCTTATTTTTTTTCCCACTAATATATTCCAAGCACAAGTAACTAAGATCCAGTGCCTTAAATACATAGAGAATTATTTTTCTTCTAAGAATCAAAGCCCAGAGTTAGGTTGCTGGTAGTGGTTCTATTTCTTAGTGATATTATAAAGGATGTAGACTCTCATTAATTTCCCACTAGCAGCATGTTGGCTTTTCATCAAATTATTTTCATGGTTACAAGACGGCTACCATAGCCCCAGCCATCACAACCATGTTCAAGGCTGGAAGAAGAGGAATAGGGCAGAAATGGCAGACTCTCCTTTCATTCCTCTCCCTTTAACAGGAAACAAAAGCTTTCCCAGAAACCCTTCATCAGATATCCCTTTCACCTAATGGGTCAGAACTGCATCACGGGACCACTCATAGTGACAAAGGAATTTGACAAATCAAGTATTTGACTCTCTAGCTTCTAGAGCGGGAGTTATTATTGGTGAAGAGGTTGAGAATGGCTCTTTTGAGTTTGCCAATGGTGCCTGCCATGCTAGGAATAATCACTGTTAACATTTTAATGCTTATCCTTATAGTTTTTGTTGCTGTATTTATCTCTTTCTGAATTTATAAGAGCCATGCCCCTTGCAGATGTGGCCCCCGGAATCATATTTGTACTAATCCTGCCACTGATTCTGATTTCTCTCTCACAGGGTTAAAGTCCTTTCTTGCTTTTCAAATACGCTATGGAGCAATATTCAAGGAAAGCGGGTGCCTGCAGGAGCCCACCCTGAAGTTTTCTCTTCCCAGCCTAATGCAGAAATACAGGATCCTGCCAGCCCCAGAACTCTCTAGGCAATTCAGAGCATGAATGGGTAGGGTAGTCTTCTCATGGTTTCATGTCCTGGTGAGAAACAAGAGTTTCTGTTCTGGATGACTATTGCATCTTTTATGTTTTGCAACTCTGACTTTCCAGAGTTTTGTGGATATAACAGATCTCAGTGCAATGGCATGAGCAAGATGACCTGATTACTATTTTGTTTTCTCCTGAGATCATTGGTGCGTGTTTCCAAGCGTGCCTCTCCAGCACCTATCATATGCCTGGCACAGAGCAGCCCTCAGTAAATGATGTGCTGTCTGACTGACTGGCTTACCCTTCGACAAAGACTCCTGATTTTAAAGAAATGGTCAGTAAAACTGTAATGACAACCCCAGGAGACAAGTAAAGCACATAGACATGTAGGCTACTTTGGCGCAAATACTTGAGAGTTATGCTGGTGAGTAGGAGTGGTTGGTAGAGCGGAACTCTAGCGTTTCATGGAGGGTTGAAGCACTTGATGACAACAGCCTTTGGAAAATGTTTTGATTTTCTGGGATCTTTCAGGGAAAACATCTCCCTTCCTTCCAGAAACTCTTTTATGACTTGGCTAGGATTCACCCTACTAATAAAGATATTGCCATCCTGCCTTGCTCTCTATCCTCCATAAAATCTTGAGTGCCAGGGAGAAAAGGAGATGAAAATTTTAAATGTAGATATCTTTCCCTCCATGGACACTCTAATTCCTTTCTACTCAAAGTGTGGTCTGTGGACCAGAATTATCAGCATCACCTCGTTAGAAAAGCAGAATCTCAGGCCCCACCCCAGAGCTGCTGAACCAGAACTTGCATTTTAATGCCATTTCCAGGGAATTTGTATTGTACCCATGAATGAATGTTCTAGAATATTCTTCTGTTTGCCATTCTGATAGCCTAGCTTGTCTTTAAAACCAGAAAGGAAAGATGCTGCATTTGAGACTTTGCACCTGCCAGTCCCTTTTTGTAGGACACCTTTCCTGAAAATCCAACTAATTTCTACCCTTTCTTTGAGTCTCAGCTTAGTCAATTATTTCCACCAGTAATCGTTCTTTGAATCTCCTGAAGTAGGATTAGATGTGACCTCTGTATGTCCCCTAAGGCTTCCTGCTTTCTAGCCCTATATTACAATTTCTTTTTATCTTGGGTGTCTCCAACTTTGACTACAAGCTCCATAAGTACAGAGAATTGTAATTAGTAGATTCTCCATAAATATGTTGACTAAAAGAGTGAATGAATGATTACTGTCCATTTTGAAGACAAGGAAACTGAGGCTCAGAGAGTTTAAGTAACTTCCCCGGCCTCACACAGACATAGGTGGCTGAGCTGGGTTTTGAGCTCTTAACCTTGGAGCTCCTCTTCCAGACCCCTTGCCCACACCCAGGCTAACGTGCTAGAAGGGTGTGGGAAATGAATGCAGGAGAGCTAAGTCATCTCATTATAGCAGCTGAGATTGTCCTTAACCAGCCACCTAGCCAACTTATAGCTGACTGTAGTCACATGAGTGAGTCCAGCCAAGATCAGCACCTGTCCAGCCAACCCATGGACCCCGGCTCAACAATCAAGCATCATTGTTTTAAGACACTGAGTTTCAGGAGTGGTTTGCTATGAAGCTTTTTTGGTGGCAATTGTTCACTGATGCAGAGGACAATGGGTTGTCAAAATGTTGCATTTGATTGCAACAACTTGGAATGTACAAAGAAAAGTGTTTGGTTCTTCATTTCCTCTTTGTTACCAGGATATGTAAATCTACAATGCTCGAATAAAGTTCTTTCTGACAGAAAACTGGCACAAGGCTTTGTCTCTAAACAGTATTACATGTTGGTCTAAAATACATTCTTAAGGAACCCTGTATTTCTAACGTACGTGGCTGAAGTTGTGAGCTCCACTATAGAAATGTTTCTTACTATAACATTGAGCTACACTTGGTGAGTACCTTTTCCCTGTGGTTTCACATGCCTCCACTGAAAAGAGAAAAGGGACTCAATAAAAACTGCGTGGTTCTCAAATTCCATAAAGAGAAATAACTTTGCCCTCTTATAATCCAAATAATTTATGGTGTCTAAAAAATTACAGCTCTGTTCTCTCAAGAGATAGTTACTGAACACCTACAATGTGCTTCCTCCCCACCCCAAACATTAAAATAATTGAAAAAAATATTGGAAAGTAATGATATTAGAACTTAAAACATTATTTTAAACTTAAATATTTTATTTGCCCCCAAATCAGAATTTATTAAAATTTGACTTTCTTGGTTTGTTTGCATGGCAGCAAACTCATCAATAATATTTTCAAAATCAACTTCTAGGAAACAATTAACCATTAAAAATATATTTAAAAAATAATTGTAGTTTCCATTACGACCTGGCACAGCACTGTCACATCTTGGGCTTGGATGTTTTACTTGTCGTGGAATTTTTACATTGATTTTGATTGTTTTAAAATGTTGCATGGACGGTGTTTATCTTAATCACTTCATTTTTGGTGACTCCCTAAATTTTGCAACTGAGAAGAGTGCTTCTCTCCCCTCACATTAGTCCTGCCTGGCCCTGATCATGAGCTTTTGGGGGCATGTTCATAGCTGGCTTTTCAGGAAATGGAACAATATCCTTGGCATTCCTTGCTTAAAAACATTTGATTATTAAGAGTCATTAGTCACATCTGTCTACAAGGTATAGGGAAAACCATAAGTGACAGTGCCAGATGTTTCATGCCCACATAGGAAATTGTCCTGAGGGTGACCTGCAACAAGTATGCCTATGCTATTTTGAAATATTTATTTTTCCCACTTGTCACATTGTGAATATCTTTTCAACTCATCAGACATTTAAGAATATTTTTTCTCGATGGTTGCATGGTAATCTATGGTATACATGTGTCATTATGTTTAACCTGAGTTTGCATAATTTCTAACTTTTCAGTACCTTAAACAACACTGTTATGAACAGCTTTGAGTAAATTTCAAACAGTACTATTCAAATGCTTCTAAAATTACTAGTAGTTATCAGTGAGAGGAAGTTTACATTTCTTCCTTAATGTTTGGTTGAAGAAACAACGTGAGTGCACAAAAGCTGTCAAACTTTCCCAAACTGTCAAAAGTAAACCATTAGAAATATAATAACTTGAGGTTAAGATCTACTCATAGAAATGCTTTTCACTGTCAGCTTTAAGTCATCTAGTTGCCTCCTTGTCTTAACATTTCTGTTCCATTGTACCTAAAGTTATCAATCTTTTATTTGTAATACTCAGCGTGTGTGAATGTAATCAGATGTTCTTGTGTTTTGTCCCCAGCTTTCCTATGAGTTCTTTGTCTGATTTATCTCTGTATGCCCATGACCTACTCGCAGATTAGGTTCACTGATTCACTCAATAATGTTTGTTGATTGAATGTGACAAGGAAAGAGAGTGTGACAATCTACTGCACGGTAGCAGAACACTGTTCTGATAGTCTATTCCCTGAAGGACGACTCTTGGTTTTACAAATACAGTCGTTGTCACTTAATGAAAGGGATACATTCTGAGAAACCCATTGTTAGCCAATTTCATCATTGTGCAAACATCACAGAGTGCACTTACAGAACTAGATGGCATAGCCTATTAACACCTAGGTGATGTGGTGTAATCTTGTGGACCACCATTGTACATGCGGTTTGCTGGTGACCAAAACATCGTTATTATGCAGCACATGACTGTAATGTCCTGTTTCTGCAGAGTCACCCAAATGCCCTTTTGTTGACGTTTCAACAATACTCTGTAGTAATTTCATTACGAGCACTACTATTGCTAAGATGACAATGGGTGACTCAGGTCAGTTTCCCTGAGAGCAGAGCCTGAGACAAGGATGTTGGTGCCCATGACTTATTGAAGGAGTGCTCTGAGAAGAGAGAGAGTGAGGGAAGAAGGATGGGGTCAGAGGAGGATCTGGGTTCACCCTGATCCCACGGTGATCTCTGGAGCATGAATTGTTCCTCAGCACCAGTCCCATTTTAAGGCAAGTGGGCCAGCCTTTTGAATTCCTACGTCAGTCAGTTCTTGACTGTGTGCTGCCCTCATGGTGGTGGAGAGATGATAAAAGCTCCTGTTTGGCTGAGGCCAATTTTCTGGAGAAGGGACAGCTGACCCTTAAAGGGAATTAAGGATGGATATCATCCTCATGACCACCAAATACAAAAAAAAAAAGCCATATTCATCACTTAGATACGTGTTTGAAGCTCATTGTAATGAGATTTTGAGCTGCATTTAAAAAATGTTTGTTTAAAATTATGCTGCGGGGCCGGCCAAGTGGCGCGTTGGTTAAGAACTGGCTTGGGACACCAGAGGGCCATGGTTCGGATCCCACATATGAGGGCCAGTGACACTGCCCTCCACAGCTAAGATGCTGAACAACAGCTCAACCTGGAGCTGGGCTGCCGTGAGTCGCCGGCGACGGCGTAGGCTGCAGCCCCTGTGGCAGTGGGTTGCCATGGGCTACCATATGTAGCCAGCAGCCAGCGTGAGCGGCCAGCAGCCGCAGTGAGCGGCCGTCCAGAAGCCGGCGACTGATCTGCCTCGCCTGGGAAGAGCGCAATGATGGTGCCAACTTGGGCCAGTGAAGCAACGTCCTCCACAGCTAGACTGAAGAACGAAACGACAGCAACTTGTCTGTTCCCCTTCCCCCAATTCCCCAGCACTGTTCCCATCCCCCCAATTCCCCAATAAAAATCTTAAAAAAAAATTATGCTGCAAACTTTTTAGACATTCCAGTAAAGCCTATCTCTTTCTAAAAGATCTTAGAGCTTGTTTACCACTCGGCTTTATTGAGCCTAGAATGCAGTGGCTTTTATATTTGCAAATATACCTTTAATAAAGTGCTTTCATCTTCAAAAACTGTAAAAAAACATCAGAAGGAGACATCTCTAATGCTTATCCTGGGAGAGGGATGACTTCTCTTTTGAAACTCTATAATGTACAACACCCAATAGCACTTGCCACTTCCCCCCAAATATGACATCACTTTATAATTAATATTCAATATTTGTTATGTCCCACTTCTGTGACCTTCATGAATAATTCCCAGTGTTGATAAAATTATCCACTTTATATGTAATTTTAAACTCTCAAGCTGCATCTGACTTTGCTATAAATATGGGCTGGCTCAGTTTACATAGCTAGGTTTTTTACTGCAGGATCTCAAATTTTCTTCCTTCCTCTTCCTTATTTCTCAGAAAAATCCCTTCTCAGGAGTCTGTGGGTATTGCTGAGATAGCATCTGGTCTCTGCTCAGTATCTGTTTCTGCCATCTTTCTCTACCTTCTCGTCCAAGTCCCTCACATGCTTTCCCCAGGGGTCTGTCCAACTCAGCACAGTGCTCTCCAGCCACATCCAGGTCAAGTCCACAGAATGTTGAGATTCATCCTCCTATTTTTTTTAAAGATTTTTATTGGGGAATTGGGGGGATGGGAACAGTGCTGGGGAATTGGAGGAAGGGGAACAGACAAGTTGCTGTCCTTTTGTTCTTCAGTCTAGTTGTGGAGGACGTTGCTTCACTGGCTCAAGTTGACACCATCATTGTGTTCTTTCCGGGCAAGGCAGATCAGTCGCCGGCTTCTGGACGGCCGCTCACTGCGGCTGCTGGCCACTCACGCCGGCTGCTGGCTACACACGGTAGCCCATGGCAACCCACTGCCACAGGGGCTGCAGCCTACATCGTCGCCGGCGACTCACAGCAGCCCAGCTCCAGGTTGAGCTGTTGTTCAGCATCTTAGCTGTGGAGGGCAGCATCACAGGCCCTCATATGTGGGATCCGAACCGGAGCCCTCTGGCGTCCCAAGCCAGCTCTTAACCATCGTGCCACTCGGCCGGCCCTCATCCTCCTATTTTTAAGAAGCAGGTTTGCTTCCCAGCTTGGGGCTGCCATTGTCTCCTGGGCCCCAATGCTGCTGTACTTGGGCACAGAGTCACTTCTGACTCATAAACACCTTGGCACCATCTCTCATTTCACCCCTTCACTCTAGGGGGCCCCCAAGTAATCACTTAGGTCTGCTGGACACACGGACTTGCTATCCTTCTGTCTTCTCTCTCTTTTCCTTCCAGTGGAATCTTCTCAAAACCTCCACGCATATCAACACATACAGGTAGATGTTTCGGAGGTGTTATAAGGGCGCATCCCCGTCGTTTGCCTGAAAATTCTAAAGGCTAACCTCTGGTCAAGCCCAAACACCCTGCAACACATAGAAGAGAAAATCCAGGAGGCTTGGAACTGTTAAAAAATTGTCACAAAGTCGCTTACTCATCCTACAAATATTTGTGAAGTATCTACTCTCTAGAAACGGGCTATGATACTATGTAAGACATACACTGTCTTTCCTGTCATGGAACTTACATCCCAATGGTGGTCCAGACCCAACAAACAAGTAAATGAATATCTAAGTGGGCTGGATGTCCAAGTCCATGTAGATGCCTGCTAGAATGCTGACATCTTTGAGTATAACTATGGAGTTTCTTGGCCTCTGGCTTCCAGTTGGTTTTGGCCAATGGGAAACACCAACAGAATATTAGAAAAAGGGAAGAGAGTAAACTCAGAGTTTTTGTTCTCTTAGCTCCTTCCCTGCAGGTCACCATGGGTTGTCTGTCCTCTGAATGAAGACCACAGCTCCATGATCTGGTACTCTGTCTTATCAATTACAATTTCTTACACCTTGTTCATTCTGACTTTTTCTCAATAGCATTGTGCGTAACTCCTAAATATCTTTAACCTATCCTGTAACTTTATTTCTGCATAACATAAAAAGAAAATTT